ATCGATTCAGTGACTGGGGTAATCGGAATGGGTGTGTCAGAGGCAGTGCGGTTGGCGCAGGATAGAGCAGGGTTTAGGGCTGTTGTGCATAGGGTCACTATGAGTCGGAAATGACTCGACAGCACATAACAACAACAACAACAACAGGGAAAAATCAGAATATGAGAAAAAAACATTGTAACACAACCATAGCCTCACTATGTAAAATTCCTAACTTGATGCATTTTCTTCCAGACTTTTTCCTATGATATCTTCTCCCCCCTCATCCAATATTTTTGAAAATTTTATATTGGTTGGCATACAAAATTCATATACATTGTATTTAACTCATATACATTTCATACATTCCTTCATTCACATTGTGTTTCATGCAGTTGTTCTCATGTTGTTGTTATGTGCCATCAAGTTGTGACTCATAGTGACCCTATGTATAACAGCTCGGAACTCTGCTCTATCCTTAGCCAGTTTAATCGTCTCTGACACACCTACCCCGATTATCCCAGTCAGTGAGTCAATCCATCTCATCCAGGGTCTTCCTCTCTTGGCACTATTTCTCCACCTTTCCCTTCAAAGCATTATGTCCCTCTCTAAGGACTCCTGGCAACATGCCCAAAGAATGTGAGACAAAGCTTCAAAATTCTTGCTTCCAAGGAGCAGCCTGGTTTCACCCTCTCAAGGACAGACCTGGTTTTTCTCTTGGCAGCCTGTGGTATGTTCAATACTCTTCGATAGCACTACAACTCAAAGGCATCAATTCTTCACCTGTCATGCTTAGTCACTGTCCAGCTTTCTGATGCATAGCAAGTAATTGTGAAGACCATGGCTTGGATTAGGTGCACCTTGGTCTCGCGTCTCTAGACTGACACCATTACTCTTCAATGCTCTGGAGAGGTCCCTGACAGCAGATTTTCCCAAAACAATTAGTTTTTTGATTTCTTGGCTGCTAGTACCAAGAGTGTTGATTGTGGAATCAAGTAAGCTGAAACTCTTAACAATCTTAATGTCTTCTCCACCGGGCATGATGCTGCCAATTGGCCCAGTGGTGAGAATCTTTGTTTCCTTGATATTTACATACATTGTGTTTTTTTAAAAAAATTAATCACCATTGATCTATGGCCTCTATTACCGCATCTTTTCAACTCCCCACTAATCAGATCTTTCCTAATTCTTTTACCCTCTCCCTCTGTCCACCAAACTCTGTGACTCATGATTACTCCCCCCCAACCCTCAGGCCCCACTTTCTCCCCTTCCCCCCTTGCACTTTCATACATATCTTACTACTTATTCTGCTATTTTTACAATAACAGTCTTAGTCCGTATTTGTCCTTATGAGTCTGAATTAGTTGACTCAGCATAATGCTCTCCAGTTTCTTCCATGTTATGTAGTATTTTTTTTAAGGCCTTACTCCTGAGCATTACATAATATTCAATTTTATGAGTATACCACACTTTCTCAATCTTCCTGTGGTTTCTTCAAAAAGCAATTGTGAATGAACTGCTTAAAAAGTTGAGATGACCTTTATCTTTCTTGAAACCATGAGTCATAAAACACCTCATTTATTGAAGAAAAAAAAATAGTCTTGCACATACCATGGACAGCCAAGAAAAAAAAAAATAAGTCTGTCTTGCAGAAGGTGAAACAAATTTTCTTCTTGGAGGCTAGGAGTTTGAAGCTCTGTCTCACATACTATGTGGCCAAGAGGGACCAGTCTTTGGAGAAGGACATCATGATCAGAACTATGGAGGGACAGTGAAAGAGAGGAAGACCCCAGATGAAATAGATTGATACAGTAACTGGGATAATTAGGGTAGGCGTGTCAGAGTCAGTGAGGCTCAGAATAGGGCAGGCTTCAGAGCTGTTGTACATAGGGTCACTATGAATTGCAGGTGACTCGATGGCACATAGCAACAACAACAACAACAACAATACAAAAAATAGCTCTTAGGAGGACACAATGGAAGTTAATTTTTCTATCAGTCAAATTGCTTAGGAACACTTCTCTTCAAACAAATAAATGTCTTGTTGAAGACAAGATGATATTTCCTGGGTGGTGCAAATGGTTAACATGCTCTGTGGCTAACTAAATGATTAGTGGCCTCACTCCACCTAGTGAGGCATCTAAGAAGAAAGGCCTGGCAATCCATGCCTGGAAAAAAAACCCCAAACAGCCACTGCACAGTACATTATGCTCTGTAAGTTGGAGGTCAGTACAAGAAAGGAAGCCTTCGACAGGAAGGATCAACACAGTGACTGTAACGGTGGGCTTGAGATGGTGAGGATGGCACAGGACGGTCAAGGTTCAGATCTGCTGTTCACAGGGTCACTAT